GATCTCAAAATCATACAGTCATTGTTGGAAAGGATTCAAATACACAGAAATGCTGGACAACCAAAGCATCTGTGGGACCTGAAGGATTTTTCTGAAGAACAGCAGACAGTTTCACTGCTCAGTACAAACAAGGGACTCATGAACAACTATCACTAAACAAAACACAGCTGTGGATCATTCAGGTAACAACACAGTATTAATAATCAAGTGAATGGGGTCATTTTTATAAATTCAACTATTATTTTCTCTTGTGGACTATATGTAAACATCGTTTATGTGAAATATCTTATTCAGGTCAGTACTAAATAAATAATAACATGCATTTTGTATGATCCCTCTTATTTTGGTGAAATAATTAACATTTTGCAGATTCTGCAAGGGGATGTAAACCTTTGACCTGAACTGTAACTAGCGTCATATTTACTGTTCCTGCAGCCAGTCAAGCATTTCAGGAACATCAGAGGTGTTCATCTCATCTGAAGTACATGGTAAAGTGAATCTGATGGCTGATGAAACACCGCACTTCTCCTCGATGGCGAGTCTGTGCAGTTTCTCCGAGTGCTTCAGAGCTCGTCGCGGGCCGTGCTGTCCAGCGGAGACTGCAGCACGTCCGAGTTCTGCGCCTCGCTGCTCAGCTCCTCCTGCTCGAGGCTCTTGCGTGATCGCGCTCGGTCCCAGTCGGTGCGGACCGTCTCGTTGTCCCAGACGCTGGAGGTCTCCGTGTCGCTGATGTAGCCCGCGTCGCCAGTGTAGTGCGTGGGGTAAACCAGCAGCGGCTCGGCCGAAAACGCTCGCAGGTCCCGCCGCTCGAAGTGAGACATGTAGTCCTCGCTGCACAGACAGAGACGGAAACGACTTTAGTTATGCTGGCTCAATGAAGCAATGTCTTTTCCTTAAACTATTATTTTTATTATCAATAATAATTTACACAATTTTATTATTGATGTTATTTTTTAATAATAAAAATAAACTATTAATATTTTTGTTTACATTATCTTTAGGTTTATTATGTGATTTTTGTGATGTTTAATTAGATTCTGTGTTGTTTGATGTTCATATGAGACTTTTTTGATCACTACTCTTTGTTAGGAGCAAAAATAAACTAATTTGCACAATAGCAGATAATAAAATATTGTTGTATCTGATCAGAAGGATAAAACATTACATTGAATGCATAAACTAACAATAATTAGAAACAGGTAAACTGAACACTAGGAATAATGATACGGCTGTATGAAGAGATAGCTCTTCTCTCACATGGGGTGTTTGTTATTGATGTTATTTTTTAATAATAAAAATAAACTATTAATATTAACAATAATAATATTCAACAAAATAATAATAATTATTATTATTATAATTTATATTTATTTATATTTTTATCATCGCATAATTAAAAAATAATAATTTTAAATAAATAAATAAATATTATTATTAGTACATGACGGGCAGAAACTCGTCCACCGGCAGCATGTTTCGGAGCGGTTCGGCCCGCAGCAGCTTCTGAGCGCCGCGCAGCGAGATGGTGTATCCCAGCGTCCAGTACGAGTAATCCGCCTCCACCAGGTTGTGTATTCTGGGCACAGATTTCTCCGGCCGGTCCACCTGCATGCGCTTGCGGCCGATATATCTGAGAGACAGAGACAAACAGCTGGAGTCAGGAGTCCAGCAGAGGGCACTGTACACACAGACTGCTGTACTCACATCAAGTCCCAGTCCAGCTGCTGAGACTCGATCTCATGCATCAGATTCTGCAGGCGCCGCTTAAAGAAAACCTCAAAGCGCAGGTCGTCCTCGATCACCAGAGATGCCTTCAGCCCTCGATCCACAATCTAACACACAGAACCACGCACATACTGAGTAAACACATTGCCGTAATGTAGGTGTCACGTTTATGTTCTGTTTTTGTTTTGGTTTCCCTCTGTTCCTGCCTCCGGTTTCTGTATACCTTTATTTGGTTATGTTCCTAATGTTCATTTGGTTTTCCCCTGTGTGTGTTTGATTGTTCATTGCTCCCAGGTGTTTCTTGTCAATTACCCCATGTACTTAAGTTCCTGTCTGTGTTATCTGAGTTTGTCCGGTATTGAATGGCGATGTTGTGTTTCCTGTGTGTCTGTGCCTGCCTTGCTTTACCCCGTCTTGGATGATTAAAGACATTTACTTTGAGTTTATCCCACGCCTCCTCGTTCTTCGTTTCGCCACAGAAGGCAACCATGACATTAGGATATTGCAAAAATAATTAGTTTATAGTATATTTAAAAATATTTTCTATAAAACACTATATTAGTATATTACTATATTATGTTATTTTATCAAAAATTATAATATTTTCTTGTAAACTGTTACACATAAACAGATTTCCATAATTTAACATATTATAAAATGATTTTATTTTATTATTATAAAGTTTATATATATATATATATATATATTTTTTTTTTTAAACACTATTTTGTAGTATTTTATGAAAACAATACTTCTAAAAATCAAACACTGAGTAAACACACTGCCATAATTTAAGTTATTATAGAAAAATATATTATTTTAGAGAAATATTTAAAATATTCCCTTACAAAACGCTTATTACTAAATAAACTATATTACAATACTTTCTTATAAAAACACTACTTTTTCAATAAAAACTGACTGATGTTCAGTGCCCTGACACACACACAGACACAGACAGACACAGACACACACAGACACACAGACACAGATACAGACAGACACAAACACAGACACACACACACAGACACAGACAGACACAGACACACACAGACACACAGACACAGACACAGACAGACACAAA